GTCAATGTGCCTTTTATGCATTCAGTTAAACCACTAGCATTTACCTACAACTCTTCGGATGAAGTATTGCGATCGCATGATAATAATAGTTCTTCAATAGGAAACGTGTTCTTTTTCATAAAGGAAATATTACTGATAAATCAGATCCGTTCCACGATAAAATGTTCTTGTTGGTATAGTCCAACGGTGACGTAAGAAACGTATCTGTAGCTAGTCGTAGACTTGCTTTTATAATGAATATCAAAAGCACTATAAAAACAATACAATTTCGCTGGATCATCCTTTTTCACATTTCTCTGCATCAGGTGTTCAAAAGCCTGGATAATGGATTTCTGGACGAAGCGATGCGAATGATGTAGGCGATACACTGCAGAGCAGGTGTTGAGGCTGAAAAAAAAAAAGAAATGGTTTATCGGGCATATGCAAAGTTCCAGATTCTGGAATTACTAACATGCAGGAGGAAAGACGATCCAAACAAAATTGAATCTTATAGTATGTACGCATAGTGATAGATCTAAAAACGCAGAAACCTTTGTTTCTTTAATATAGATTTAAAACCGAATTTGGGTCCGTTTGGCATATTAAAGGTCTTAACTGTAGGTATTGTCCTACAAGGTAAGCGGGATATCTGATTAAACAGTTTTTCAAGGTCGGCCCTCCTTGTTTATCACGTTCACCATCTGCATGATGACATATTTTGCATTCCGCGTCGAACATCCCTTGGAACATCCATTTTGGTGACCTGAATTCTATTAGCCCTGAAGTATGCTAACCACTTGCAACTTACTCGTATATTCTTCTATCATGTCATATTCAATAGTAAGCTGTCCCAACATGTCTCTTAACATTTTACATAACGCCATGGATTTTACTATATAACTGATACTTTCAGAATTGAAAAATTGATTCGAGCAGGAAAAGTTGAGAATACTGTTTGTTTGAATTCCAGGCGGCAATGTGTGCAAAAAAAATTCATACTTACGGAGAATGCACAGATCTATGCAAATGAGGTGGCAGTTTGATATTTACAATCCATTATAATGATGGTTCTGTCCATTTCACGGATCTGGTAGTAACTCATCTCCCAGTTCACCTAATTATCTCTACTGGTATCACTCTTTGACAGTTTGATTAGGTGCTGATCCTTACTGCTTCACGATTTGCCATTGTCTCATCGTTTCTAATAAGATCTGCCATATTAAAAACTAACCGATGCAAATACAAAGATAGAATTTAGTCAATCAGCTGTTTAGTTTTCAGACTGTTGAACAGGCAGTAAGTTCCAAAGGATAATGCCACTATAGATGCTATCAAAGCATGGATTAAGCACACCTCAAGAGAGACTCATTCAATGTATAGTTCCAACTTTTTTCAGCCGTTGCTTATCCAACACTAGCCATCGATCACCTGAAATGCGCGAGTACGATATCGGGAAAATCCGAAAAATAGGGTATGGATTTTTTTATTTTTTTGCTTCGAAAAGAGGAGTAGTCGACTGTGAAGTTCATGTAAATTAGCATAGATTTCGTCATGTATCATTGGACAAGAGGGTTGCTAAAACAAACGATTTCGATTTGTATTTATTTTTTATTAATAAAGCGAATCTTTACATTTGCAAATATAACATTTGAATAATTCTTATTGTGGGAAACGTGCATACTATAATATAATATTTGATGGAAATTAATAAGCAGGCTAGATCATGTATCAAGGGATTAAGTAATTTATTCTCGAAACTTCCCGCATATATTCAAAAGACCTATTATAATTTTAAGGGGTATCGGTTGATCTGATTTTCGTGATGAATCATAATATAACGTAATTTTCCCCAAAGATTTATTCCAAAAATCAATCCTTACAAATCTTATAAAAAGCGAGGCCTTATTAGTGAATCCTTTATCCCGCCTTGTGCAAGTAAAGCAAAAAAAGGGTCAAAAAAACTATTCAAACTTACCACTATTAACATCAACAATAGCAACAATATCAAAGTTAGTTATTTTGATTTCTTGGCTTTAATTATCATCACGATGCTAATCATTTTCTCAAAGATAAAGCGGACATATTACCTTTCTTATATTCGCCGATCACCATCATGTGTCTAATCAGTGTGGCTTTTCTGTCACCAGATTTTCGTCACATACAGTGCGCAGTATGATGTTTGAACTGATAATAATATTATCACTTATTAAAATGAATTATAGCGGTAAGTGCGAATCGGAAGCCCTCACCTTGTTTTATTTTTTTTAATCTCATTGCTAATCTCAAGAATTCTTCCCATAATAATAGATTCGAAATCATTTCATCTCGAATAATCTACTACACGTACATAGTTTGTGTGAGTGGGAGTGATATAGATAGACGAAAATTCTGTAAATATGGGTGGAATAATTTATTTCAGAGATCTATTGATAGGAACAAATTGAGCAAAGAAATAACTTGGTGCTGGGACTCCCTCTTTGATAGCACCATTCGCTACCTTATCATTTTCTGATTAGCTACAGTATGTACCTGAAATTATTAATAAAAATTCGCTCTTCTCGGGATTTAGCCTTTCAGATATTTTTTCATACGGTATACCAAATAAGCCAAGGATATTGTTAATTGTAATCTGCATGTGTCAGGAACATTATATGTGTAAATTATAACGCGTATCGTATTTGTTCAATAACGAGCAGTTTTATAAAAAAAAGCTATACACTTATGGTAAATGTTTGTCTGAGTTTGGGACCTGTCTCAGTTCGGAACCCAGTCACTCAGTCCAGAACTCAGTTGTCTCGGTCCAGAACTGAGACAGGTCCCCAACTGAGGTACAACAGTAACTTTATTTTATTAATTTATTATTATACGTGATACAGTCTAACCTCGATATAGTAAAGTCTCGGTACAGTGAATTTTGCGCTATAGTAAAGAATTCCTCTGATACATTAATTTCACTCGATACAATGAAGTTATATAGTAAGTCTCGTTATTAGATAGTCAAGTTTTTCCTCAAACAATATTAGTAGATTGCATCTCGATATATAGTGGGATTTTGACCAATCATAATACAAACACGTGTTGATTAAAAGTGTTAAAGTGAGGGAATTTTAACTGAAACGGAGACACACAAAGAGAAAGAAGAAAAAAAAAGCCAATTCAGAGAGAAGAAGTTTGTCCGGTGTCCAGAAAGCTAAAATATGTCGTTTAAAAGAGCGAGGTGTTAGCCAAGTTACAATAGCGAAGCAATTCGATATTTCCGAGGCAACCGTTTCAACCATCTTTTAGAGGCATTAAAATTTTTTACGTCAAGAGGTTTGCAAGTTGTTGTTTTTTTCTTCTTCTTGTATTATTTCACCAGTAATCACCTGCGATGCTTCATTGTATAATTTCCCACTCTCTACTCGTCATAAATTGTTCCAAATCACTAACATCTTTTTGGCATTCTCTTTTCCACGTTTCTCTTTACGATTGCCCATAAGTTTTCTATTGGGTTTTTAAGTCTGGACTGTTGGATGGTTATATTTTGTGCAGTCGAGAAAATAATATTTGCGCTTCCGCCAATAATTAACTAACATTAATTTGCTGCTGTAGGTTATTTTAATCAGTAATTTCACTTCTCATTTTTTCATTACGCGTGGCAAGTTCATCGATAACCCTTGCACGATTAGTACAAAAGGAGCAACAATGCCATTACAGAGTTGTAATTTCGGGGGTATCATTTCAAGGAATAAACGAAACATGAGAACCATAAGAACATATTGTCCAAGGTGTTAAACGAATGCACGTATGCGAATTGGGACATTAATTATGGGGACGCGCGGACAAACAGAAACTAGCAAAGATGTTTCTTGTTTCCAATTATAATTCAAATAATAAGTACGCATTCATGTTACTTTGCGAAGATTTCAGTGGGATGTTTCTTCATGGCTATGGTCTTACGCATGTATAACATTGATTGGTTTCCATACCTGATACGCCAATTATTCAGAAAAACATGACTGCACAACACACAACTCGAAATGAAGCCCATTTCTCCACTTTCGATCAATAAACAATTTCGTCCAAAAATAACCGACAAATTGTTCGCGCTATTAGTAAGCTTGTCGGTTGATCAGGGAAGAGACCAATAAAAGAAAGCAAGAAAGTGTTAAAAAAGTCATAAACACAATACCAATACTGTCTCGGAAATTATATAAAAAGACAACTGTGTTTATTCTCGTCTTAAAGCTTTTTTGTATCTACTATCCTAAACTCACGGCTATTACTATAATGTACAGTTCCTATTGCACACAAAACTTATAATAACAAAACCGTTCAAAAAGCTCTGCCGTTTCAAGAATCAATACGGAAGATGGATACCAACTTTAAAAATCCACCGCTTACATATCTGAAGACAATATTTATCTGAAGTCGTACAGCAACTTCAAAGCGAACGGAATATACCAAATCTCAAGGAAATTTACTTCACTTAAAGACAATTCTTTTAACGTTCCAGCATTCGATTCAAGATTATACTCTCGTCTCGAAACCACCATCCGAATATACAGGGCCCTAAGAAGATGGAGGCGGTTCGTGCGTGTGTAGTCAAAGATGGGAATTAATTAGTTCGGATGTCCGTCCGTCGAGTCGGGATGATAGTTAAAGCCAATGTAAAGACGGTGAAGAATGAAACAATATCCTAATTGATTTATGGAGCATCGATGTAAACTAATTATAGAAAATAATGGCAATCACATCCCTTATTAAAATTATATCAATAAAGCATATCTTGCGGACTTTCAAATGAAGCTTAAATCATATTATTTGGATGAGTTAGAGTAAATCTTTTGTTTTTGAAGAGACTTCGGAAGTGTAATTGAATGTAAAGCGACGACTTGCGTATTTCCTTATAACCCTCCTTCAGCAGTAACAAGGCCAATTGAGACGCGTATTTTTGTGTGACCGTAGAAAGGAGATCGCCATCACGCGTTATTTGCTCTCAAACGAAACATTCTCACCAATTAATTACACAAGGAAGCGATATGGAAATCGACGATGACATAGAATTTCAACGACATGCAAACACCCGGCTATGGGTTGACAAGTATAGGCCGAAGAAATTTACTGATTTAACTGGTGACGAGGTTGGTTGCGACAGATCGATGATTATACTATCCGTAAGGGCAATGCCTCAAATGTGATGATTATTTTATAGAGATTGAACAGAGAATGTCTCAAATGGTTAAAACAATGGGATTACTGTGTGTTTGGCAGAGCACATCGGCAAGTCAAGGCTCAAGATGGAGGAAATAAAGTATATTGCATTCAATCTTGCTGCGCGTTTTTGTTGCAATAGACACTTTTCTCCGGGATGATTATACGGGAAATCTAACCAAGTGAATCTAACCGGACAATATTTGATCTGTATTTTAAGGACCCTTTGCAACGTCCCGAGAAAAGAGTACGTGTATAAGGCCCGAGTATGGGCTTTGAACAGTGGGAATGAAACGAGTATCGATTGAATTCTACTACTACATTTCAACAGGTATTGTTACTTGTTGGCCCACCTGGATCGACAAAAACTACAGTAGCGCATGCTATAGCGAGACATTGTGGATATCACATTGTCGAAGTTAACGCAAGGTATAGTAGGACAGTTTGTTTTATTATCCGGTATATAATCTTTGTGTTAATACGTTTCGATAATCGTAGTGATGACCGGTCAGGACAAGTGGTTCAAAACAAAATCAGAGACATTCTTCGATGGCAATCTGCTTTAAACAAGAAGCCGAATATTCTCATTATTGATGAAGTTGATGGTGCCATTGGCGGAGGAGAACAAGTGAGTGAACAGGATCATCAGTTTTCTGTTGTAACTGTGGTATGATATTAAGAAATACTTTGACTCTGTCGGGTGTAGAGTTTTATTAGGCTTCTTGTTGACATTATAAAAGATGACGATACGAGGAGAGATAAGTCAAGTAAGATTACAATATAACGATGTAATTACTTTTAACAACGAATCCTTAACTTTATTTTCACTTGTACAGAAGCGGGAAACAAATCAAAAGAAAAGAATCGCTTACGACGGCCAATTATTTGCATTTGCAACGACCAGTATGTTTCCAGTAAATACGTAATTCACCCATGCATGGTTTGTAAAATCTATAATAACCAAACATCCGCCACAGCAACTAATGATTACTTGCGTTTATAGATACGTTCCTTCCATAAGACCCCTTCGAGAAATAGCACAGGTATATCAATTCCGGAAATGCCAGTCGGCGGTGATTTCGCCGCAACTCCAGAAAATATGCAAGTTAGAAGGAGTATCGGCGGATCTGAGAACCTTGTCTGCACTCGTAGATGCGGCAGAGGGAGATCTACGAACATGTTTGAACACTTTACAGGTAAAACATGGATATTACGATGTTTCTTTAACCGTGAGCGTGATGACCTGATTGCTAATACTTTATATAGTTTCTCAGTCAAAAGTCAAAAGTAATTACAGCAGAAATGGTAAATCGGGATAGTATTGGACTAAGAGATGTAAACCAGTCTTTGTTTCATATATGGGAAGAGATCTTTCAATTAAAGAGTGGACAAAAAAAAAGGATAGAGGGTAGGATTGTTACCGAAGAAGTTGCTGCCTCAAGAGGTAGGACATATGCTACTTTTTGGTTTGTCGGGTACTTTCGCCTTATAACGATATACACTATCTGACGGATTTTTGGACATAAGAGGACAAGTATCTTGCGCGCCTTTCGTCAATGATTAACACAAATTCGGAATACGATAAATTGATGCAGGGTAATTATTGTACGGAACTAGCATATCCCGAACTTTTCAAACCAATAGTTGAAACAGATTTCTAAAGCCTATTTATATTACAGGATGCTTCGAGAACTACCCAAACATGAAGTTTAACGATTCAAACTTTTCTAAACGGCTCGACGTTTGCGACTGGCTTGTCTTTTACGATCAAGTGAATCAACGACTCAATTCACGCCAGCAGTTCGGATTACAACCCTATTTGCCCTATAGTCTCGCTGCATTCCATCCTTTATTCGCAGGCAGCGTTAAACAGGACATCAAATATCCGAGGACAGATTATCAGGTGCGTTTCCCTATCGCCCAGACGGTGAATTGAATGAGGGTTACTTATTTTGTTTATTTTTTTTTCCTATAGTATTTCATCAAGACAAAAGAGCGTGAACAAGCAATTGCGTCATTCCTTGATGAATCACCAAAATACCTTAGCGCGATATCAAAAGAGAAATTTGCTACAGAGTATTTTCCTTATGTCTCTAAAATAATCGACCGTGATGCGCACCAGGTACCCATAGATTGTCATTTAACTAAAATTTCTCCCCTTTTTTTTTTCCCATTGGTATTATTCATGCAATTGGGTTTCTTATTTTTATAGAAAGCGGATCGTCTCTCAAAGGTTATAAACCTTGAGGTGCCTCGGGTAAACATATTCAAAAGTTCCTAATTAGTTATGAAATATACAAACCCATTAAATCACAATTTTGAATTTTGTAGAAAAACATACTAGTGTCGCATACCGAAGTAAATATATCAATGTTTAAACGATACTGTACTCGCTACGATTATTCCCGTTGTTTAACAAAACCTCTCTTCTTATAGCGAGAAGCTCCTGTTGATTTCTTTGGGAGACCAATAAAACGAAAGGCCGGAGCACAGGCAAAACGAGGTATCTAATTCATAGAAACATTCGATATGATTGTACGATCCGCATAAAACACTTTATTAACAATTTGTCATGCTTTAAATATAGTGAAAAAGGAAGAGACACGTACTGTCTACTTCCGTTTTAACGAAGGGTTTTCAAACGCGCCTCGACAAAAGATGCGAGTTCGGGATTTCTTGTAATGTAAAAGATGTGTTATAATAGAAACTTACGGATGATAGATAATATTACAAATATAATATGAATTTCACACCTATTTACTTTCTTCCAGGAAATAATCGGCTGTATTGTAAATTTCTAAAGGCTTCATTGGAGGCAAATCAATTTCGGAAGGTTCGATGCTTCTAGCTGTGTTCTAAAAAGAACAATATTAGAATTATTTCTCTCGGTTATACAGTGGTTTATCCTTAATTACCAGTTTCAGAGACTCCCAGACACGATTAATGGGATTCGTTAGGAATCTCTCTGCTTCATCGACACGATCCGTTACATCGTTCACTGTTTTCTTTACTACATTCATGAACGCCTACAGTCGATAGAAGTGAGATGAAAGCGACTTCGACATACGCATATAAATTCTTATGATAGTCGTACTTCGAGATTATCAATCTTATTATACAAGGCATCTAGATGGTGTGCTGCTTCGAAAAGCTCTTTAGCAGATTCCGATTGTTTTGTGGATTCGGATCTGATCTATGAGAGAAGATTCTAAAAAGAATTCAGTTTGTCAGCGACGACGACAAATGACATTCTTTTAACGTACCTGTTCAATAGAGACTTTCATATCTTCCATTTGGCTCGATGCAATTGCGATGTTTGAATTTATCTCTTTTACCTTGATCAGATCACAGATCGTTTAATTAAAAGACCACTATAGTAGCTGTCATTAATATATTTCTACTTACAATTTGGCTATTTGTCTCGGAAACATCCAAATGTTTAGCAAGCTCTCTTGCAACCTCTTTAAGGTCGGCCGAAGGCGTGGACTCCATCACCTTTTAGTAGTAGAGATGTAAATTATTATTATAGGTGAACACAGCCGTAAAACATTCACGGGATACAAACTAAAACGTCAAGTGCGATGTAAATGACGTCATATTTTATTAGTGATGTTTAGCTTGTTTATTGTTGTTAATATTCTGAGCCTCATCTTTGTTATCAGATTCACTGGTAGAAGTTGGGTCTGTTTCTACGTATTTCAACATTGTGAAATTCTTTGCATCTCATACTCGTCGGTGATCTAAACACGTTAACAGAACCCAGACTGGAAGCAAAATAAGATTCAATTATATACTGGCGAAAATCATACCGGACTTCAACCCGTCCGTCATTGTGTATTCAGATAATCGGCGGTATGCAATAAATATGCGATACTTTTTCTATGATACGCAGGTCTAGGATCTAGAATAAAGCAAGCGATTTGTAATACTACACTACTAACTAAAGTCACGACCACCCCTCAAAATCTTCGTGAATAATTCAAATGATATACGCAAAATTTTATTGCGTATTATTAGACGAAGAATGGAAGAAAATAATCTGGAGTAACAATCTTGGTTTGCCCTTTCAAAAGTAATGATAGATCTCGGTTGAAACTCCAGAAAAATATATATATTTTGTGTTCTCCCAACAATGATGAAAGGTATGCTAATTTACATAAAAAGTCTTTGGAATTAAATATTTGAAGGAATAGTTGTAGGTCTAAAATGTGATGGTTGACGTCACGCATCAAGCTAACTTCTTTCAAATATTGTATACGATGAGCATCTCCCGTAAGAGAATATCCATTACCTGCAACAACCGATGTCCACAACGATAGAGTCTCTTCCAACTTTTGCAACTTCGCCGTCGATACCTCATCCGTTTAGCATAAAGGATATTAATATTGCTATTTTTCTGAATGAGCTATAATACTCTGACGGTTGTTTCATTCTTAAGCCGCGAAAAAAATGGCGCGTAAATAAACTGGTATATTTCAACAATTACGCAACATGAATAAATAAAAACAAAAGCTTATTGACTACTTTATTAAATGTAAAAATTCTGGTATAAAACTCTATCTCCATTTTTTTGTAATACCAGTTCACAATGCTTTTTCATAGATCTAATTAATTTTGTACGGGGTTCTTGGGATTTTATTTCGTTCTTCAACCATAAACCGTACATTAATATCTGTGTGGATACCAGTCGGATGACCTTCTATAACATGAGAATCCGTGATGTATGCTTGGGATCATTATTGTTGGCCAACAGGGGTTTGCAAAATATTCCACATAACGGAACATCCATAATTTCTGTAAAAGCAAAACAAGGAGATTTGGATTACTACCCTTATGTTCAATGGTAGTTTCTTACGTTTGGATAGTACGAAGGGAAATTTCATTCAACCAATAATGTAAAAATTGCTTGATTTGTGCTTCAAGCTTTATGTTAACCATTTTACGGAAAAAAAAAAGAAAGAGGATAGTTTCTTTCGTACGGACAAATAGGTAAATAACCATTTATAAATATAGAAATCATGCAAACAACCGCGCGTTTTTAGTTCCAAGTTGGTTAGTCGAGGCTTTTTACATATTTGCTGTTTCTGTTTGGCGGTTAACTCAAGGCTTTCTTTCGATCGAGACATTTTTGAAACTCAGTTTATATCCAATACAATAGAATTTTTCATTGGTCATTCTTAATGTCACGTGAATGGTAGTATTTATTGGAACGTGTTCGTGGCAATTTGTTTATTGGATCAAGATGGATAACTTACTCTCTTCCGCTCTCGACGCTGTCTCGAATTTTATTTTCAACCTATCATCCACCACTACTATTGAGCCAAAGTTTAAAAACAATCATACTTCAGGATGCCCGGCAATTGACAGTTTAATTGAACGGAATAGTATGGAAAATTACAATTATCCTTTGTCGTGGAGAAAAATAAAGAACTTTACCGTCATAAAATCAAGTCAGACTGTTACTATTACGGGCCAAACCATTATTCATGCTTTATACAGGCTTAGGCTTTCGCCCAACAATGTCCAAGAGACGACACACATGCTGTTATTACTTGGAACCGCGGAAAAATGTACGCCTGCATATATAAATGAGCTTACAAGAGTGTACTCACTCCCAGCAGAGGAGTACACTAATCTACCTAACGTCAGTCAGTTCAGAAGATATCCGATATGGCTGATGCATCGCAATGCAGATATAGGCTTCACCAAGTATGATAATAATTATTATCTGGTAACTGGCAAAGACTTTTATTGTTACTACTCTCAATGTGGTTTTTGTCCGGCGTGTGGGATACTGAGATGTAGTCCCGTGTGGTGTATTTGCGGACACAAAGAAGTATTCAACGGATGGAGTAGCAACAATAAGAAACTTGACGAGTTTATTAAAGAATCACAAATGCGAACAAACTCAGCAAATGAACCATACTTGGAATGGATTCCATTTGATAGTATTCAGAATTATAAAGGTAGCAAGTTCTTGAGTAGTCAGATTGCCTATTGCGATATAAAGTTGATCCCGCTCGATATAACGGATGAGACAGACTATGACAAGGTAAACTATTAATTTTTGTGAATATGTTATATTGCCAGTTATTGACTTTTTAACCCCTTCCCCAGTTATATGATGATCATCCGGACATCCTTAACCCTAATGTTTGGAGCACTATTGGATTTACATACGATGCTGGACTACAAACATACTATTTGATTAAAGATGTAGATGAAGTTGGGATATGTCTAGCATGTACAAATCCGTTCGAGTCTGCGGTAAAGGCATTCTGTTTTTCTTGCAAAAAACCAAATCCGCTTAATTGGACTACCGGCAACGAGTCATTGGATTCGTTTATAAGAAAATCATGGAGTAATGTGTGTGTACGTGATTTGTACGATAGCTATCTGCAATGGATTGAGTATTCTCGGTTGACAAACGAGCGAGAAATCTCATCATTACGCCATGGATGCACACATATAGCAGACTGTTTAGACCCGATAAAAAATAAATCGATAAGAGTGATACTCAAGAAGATAGTTGATGGACAGCATGCTCAGTCATTTGATTTTTATCAGGTAAAGAATTTTTACGCGTAAATGAATAATAAAATCACCGTCATTAAGTGTGAGGACGCGTTTTTTGATCCAACTATTGTATTGATACTCATGTAGTTAAGCAAGGATTATCCAGAGATTTTATCAAGACTTGATAATATTTGGATTATTGGTATCACCCAAGAGCCATCTACTCAAGACTATTATTTAATATTTTACTATGAGATAAGCACGGTACTGAAGAAATATATGCATCCTCAGTATGGCAAAAGTGTAGAGATTATTCAAGATATTGACATAAATGAAATTGAAAAGATTGGATCGGGTGGTTATACAACAGTCTATACTGCCAAATACAAAAATGCATCAAAAGACATGCTAGAACTTGTTGCTCTCAAACGTTTTAAAAATTTTGAAAAGATGACAGACTTGTTTATTTTCGAGGTAAGCAACCCTTGATATCATTAAGTAATGCTTGATTATGGTCTGGTACTGATTATTTATTTACTTGTTCAAAGATTAGAAATCTAGCCAAGTGTCTTGACTTTCAGTCATTCGAAGAAGGCGAAGACTTTCTAAAAATTCTTGGAGTCACACGACAGCCAGAGAATGAATATGCGGTTATAATGCAATATGCTAAGCATGGTGATCTTTGGTCTTATTTGGATCAGAATTTAAACAGAATGACCTGGAAGAGGAAAGTCAAGCTTGTGGATACAATTGCCTCTTCTCTGCATTTGATTCATGGGCCTGGGTTGGTGCATCGTAATCTCCATGCTGGCAACATACTCTTGGATGTCAATATACATAAACAAGGACCTAATGTTATGCCTAAGGTATTCATAAGCGATCTCGGTCTAGCTCGATCGGAAGCATACGAGTCAATTTCAGGCATTAAAGGAGTTTTACCTTTTATTGCACCAGAAGTCTTCCATACCTGCAAATTTACTCAGAAATCAGATATATATGCCTTAGGTATTATTATGTATTTGATTGCCAGTGGTGAACCACCTTTCAGAAATAGATTGTTCGATAATAGTTTAGTATATGATATTTTGGATGGACTGCGACCAGAGATGCCCGATTCAGCACCAGAGGCATATAAGAAGCTTGCTGCCATGTGTTGCGATGCTGATCCTGACAAACGTCCAGGGTTGATGTCTTTTATCTTTTCTATCCATAAGACAGAAATAGTAATCAATAAGTCTGACAATTCTATATGGGATACCATCTATGATAACGATGTAAAACCGTTGACACGTCTTGAGAAGGAGAGTAAATACTCTAGTAAGCACCCACCTATTGTAGATCTGAAAACAGTTTCGATTACAATTCCGTCGCAGGTATGAAGGCACAACTATGAATTGATTGAGAGATGATTTATGCAACATTAACATAATAATATTATTAATTATAATAATGCTATTGTTCCATTTTTTTTATAATTAGTGACTCGACCTGGACATTTGCATAATATTCTTATTACGTAATTAACTATCTATAGGTTTGAAGTCTTTTTTTTTCCTGATTCACATTCAGTTTATACTGACATGCATTGAATGTTGGCAGAGATAATAATCCTTGTAATAGGTTTAATAAAAACAATAGTTCCTATTTCTGCATAAATTTGAAAACAGGCCAATCAGAGAGTGGCGCCGTTCCGCAATCCTTCTGTGTTCATTCTTTTTTCATTTATTTGCAAGAAATTGTGCATGATGAATTCTCGATGAAGATGACAGATAGAGAAGACTTCGAAATCAATTTTCTCCCTGCATAAACAGACATACGTGACATCGTGGTTATAACACGTGAGACCTTGCGCGCATCTGTTCCCATTACATAATTTTGCTGCCCCCAATCAGAAAGGTCAAAAGAGAATTGAACAGGGTCTTAAAGCTTTGAAAACGTGATGGATGACGTTTTGATGGAATATCCATTACTATTACCTGCACAACCGATGTCGGGTCTCTTCCAACTTTTGCCACCTCGCCGTCGATACCTCACCGTTCAGCATAAAGGATATTAATATTAATATTGATATTTCCTGATTGATCTGTTGATTTCATTCTTGAGCTAATTCCAAGTTGGTTAATCAAGGCTTTTAACATATTTGCTGTTGCTGTCTGGCGGTTAACTTAAGGCTTCTTTCGATCGAGATGGCCCATATACGGAGAAGAATAATCGGAAATTTTAATGTCACGTGAATGTTAGTGCCGGTGATATAAAAAGGTCAACCCCGATAAACCGAACCCCGATAATATTAATATTAAACCTCCATAAACCGTAAACCGAAGATTTTCTGAAACAAACATCAAAATTTACCCCGATAATAATCCGAATAAAATAACGTAACAATTTATTTAAGCCAATAACATATCATCCACCTTTGTAAACCAAATATTGACCCCGATAAACCGTGTATTTCGATCAATTATATTTGTCTAAAAAAAATTGCTTATTATTATCTTATACATGAATTCAATCAATTGATAGGTTAATGACTTTCCCAGAACAAAGAGAAATGGATATTGGCCTTAGCGAGAATTTTATATGCTGTATGAGTTAAATCAATGTAATCTTTCAAGGTTTAATCTCAAATAAGCGAATAAGAGTAATGTTTACAATATATATTAATATTATCTGGTAGCTTGAGCACTTACTCCGTTTATCCGAACGTATGGTTTCCTTGAATATACATTTCGGTTTATAGAACAACCTCGCTAATCCGAAGAAAAATTGCTGCACCGACATCTTCGTTGACCTTGTATATTAATACAGGGGTTACAGATGGAAAAGTTGACATATTTTTACTGAACAACGGGGCGCATATAAACTGATAGTTTGGTCGTACAGTATATTTAATTGTAGCAAAACCAAAGTCACTTTTTGCATAAAAGCTTATCTTGATTCACAATTGCATGATTCAATCAAAACTTTAATTCTCCCACAAGTCTTTCCTTGGCGCTGTCGGATGTTGTTTAGCATATTACTAATTTCACGTTTATTATCCAGACTCAGTTGAGGCTTGTTTTAAATAAACTTTTACATGCTTTAAACACTGTAAAGTTAATGAGTTTTTTTCTTTAATATTTAATTCATCAAGCATAAATTTACACGCACAATTTATGGATGGTACACAACCACCTGTGACCATGAAGAGGAATTTTCATATTGTGCAGTAGTAACGGCTTAATACAAATTATAATAATAAACTTGGCTTGTCTAGTTCCTTTGCAAGATCTTTATTTGTAATAATTTTTCATACCTTGCAAGGACCAACATCAGTCAAGAATCTTAATATTAAAAAAAGTTTACAATTCTCCAAATCACAGAATACACAATGCAGAAAGAAAACAGAAAACAACAGAAAGAAACGGCTTATGTTGTTAGAGTAACGGACCCGATTTATGAAATAGGTTTGCAAATTTGATTCAAAAATTCAAAAAAACAGAGAGGAAAGCAGCTACAATTCTCCATACAGGTAAATTAGAATTATAAATTTATAACTTATTTGCAAAATAATATACTTAGGATAAAAACACAATCAAAAATTATAATTGAAATGCACTAGCTAAAGTGAAGCTTACTTAGAATTTTGATGGCAGTAATAGTAAATGTTTTGGGTACAGTATAAGCAATTGCTCTTTTCCTTGAAACACCAGTAACCTTACACAGAAACTTACATGTTTATAATTATAAAAGACCTGGACAAAATGTCTATCAGATTGGAACTGTAGTAGTTGTCACTATCAGTAGTTACATGCAAAGTTAAATTTCTGATATTTCAGTACAGAGATTATAAATAATTATATATTATAATGTTTATAATAATAATTACATACAATTAACTGAAGCCTGTTAATAAGCAAAGACTGGGGAGTGTATCTGATTAAATATCTGTTGATTGAAAATTGTTGAACCCATGGAAAATTCTCTCCAGTTCGAATTGCGGAAAAACGCAAGACATATAAAGATTTTTAAAGGATTATTCCTTGGTATTGGATTGTCTAGTCAGAGAAATATTGATACGATAATATATTTCAGAACGATCAAAGTATATTGTTATATTATAGCTATTATCCGTATACACTATATAATTTTGTATTTGATTGTGTTTCCGAAAAACTTTTAATTACGTTATCGTTTTAAAGCTATACTACAGTATTTACGTAAACAGATTCCGTCACCTCATACTTTTTCGAAAGTATACAACACAAAAATTATTGTGACTTACATAGTAATAGTGAATACGAACAGTAACAATTTTCGAAAAGAAAGGGTTTTACTAATTAACCTGCAAAATCCACCAATACTAGTCTGTATATTGTAATTTCTACCAGTCATAATCGGTTTTGAATAAAACAGTATCCGTCACGTTAATACTTTGATGTTTTGGTTTTTTCTTTTTTCCATGCCTCACATAATGCATTATTATGACTGTTCTTTTAAAGGGACGTTGCAACCCAAATTGTTCTGCTATCAATATCAAACCTGTCACTCCAAACTGCAAGCCCCCACGCGTTGACATCTTCCCTCGACGATATCAGCTGTCGATTCAATCAATCGGAAATATGGCATGGAGTTGGTACTTAGGTAGAACCAAATAGTAGCGAGGTTGGATTGTGCGATGACTCTCAAATAGCGACTGGCGGCTGGATAAGTGAGCTGTTTGCGTCTAATATCCATCTGGCCATCAAGACCTGCAGTGTATAATTGTCAGCCTTTCCCTGCATTTTCATCTTCACACCGCGCAATAGCCCTTTAAACCCTTCTTTTCATACATGTCAACACGACACTGTCGGAAAATGTGATTCTATATTGCGATTTTTTACTTTTATTTTGAAGTTTCTGGTAATCCGAAGCAAAATTATATTAGTCTTAAATAATGTCTAATTTTAAATATATTATTCTTAAAATCAATTAGTGAAATTAAGGTAATTCTTTCGGCCGATCGAAAATTCACATTAATGTTAGACGACGTCTTTGGACTAGATCGGTAATTTCCGAGTATTGAAGAAGGTAGATGTCATTCGCCTTCATTTCTATAAAATCTCTGTTATAGGATAAATAACGTTAGAAACAGGTTGCATGCTGTAGTTTTAAATTCAATAATTGTCATATTCACAAATGACTTGCCTTTTCAATCGCCTCTCTCCAATAGTTTCGTCGACATGACAGAACACGGGCACGTCTGACTGCGGAGAATGGACTGCCAATGGCGTACCATATAAGCCATACATCATACTTCTACGCTATACCGTACATAATCCATGCTTACCTTCATTTAGTAGATGTTTAACTTCTCGTGGGCAATCACGTTTATACGATGATTCCTCATACTCAGCAAGCAGACTGACATACTTTTCGGCAAAATCCAGTTCTGTGCTTGTCAGTTTCACCCTTTCTTCGGGATTCTTCAATATGTGGCGGGCATGTGCTTCGATCTATTGAATATTAAATGAGGGTGAACTAAGCAGATGTTGAGCCAAGCCCAGCCCACCGATGATCCTCATTGATTACGCACCTTTTCTCTTCTGATGTCAGCATATGACTCAAGAATATACTTTGTTCTATCTATATCAATCTGGGCGACAATATGCTCAATCGTGTCGCGAGGACGCTGATTTTCATTCTCAACCTCGTCATAATTGTCGTCCTATAAATATTTACATCTCCCATAGATCAATGATAACTGCTACAAACCACATATTCTACCATCATCATACGTGTACCTGCTCAATTAACGCATTTTCAACCCTTGCTAATTCCTCTTGAGGATGTAATATTTCTGGTGCCCAACGTTCGTTTAACCAACATTGTATTAAAGTATCAAAATCACCCTCTGCTGACTTTGTAGATTCCTGAATGGAAGATTACGACATGAATTTCAAATCAAGTCCACTGCTAGAGTCATTCAAACGCTACCACCTCTAATGTACTATCTACAACTGACCACATTCCAATGATCCGTCTCTGCGTCTGTCATAATGACATCCGCTGGTTCAGTCAGCCAAAGCGCTGAAAAAGTTTCAGCAGTTGAAGTAAGCATTTTGAAGCAAAAGAAGTGTTTGTCTGACCATAGTAATGATGTATTATATAGTTACGCGTAAATAAGGTTATGTCGTGTTAGATTACCAGAAACGCGTGAGTATATATAAGAAGAAGGATATGCGCAAACAAAAGTTAATCACGCACAAAATTTTTTCAGGGGTCAAACTATGTTTCACGTTGTCGTGCAGGTCACGGAATTAAGAAGCCTAATTCATACGTTCGTTGAGTACTTCCCATAGATTGCCTAGAAACCATTCTTTTTTCTTCACATATCAGTTTCCATAAAGGATTTGACCGTCGCCTTAATGACTCAGTTAAACTTAACCCTCGTTTCCTGGGAAAGGGTTAGCTTGGTTCAGTTATCGTAACGGTGTATAACGCATTCCGCGCAACTATATCGTTCTAGACATCTCGGTAACCTGCAACAACTACTTCTCTCTCATGACCTAATCTTCCACATTGAATACTTTCCATTGTAGGTAAACTTTCATTAATGGATAGTAGTTTCAGGCATTCAAGCATTTGACAAGATTACTTCTCATAGTACAGACAGATAATAACAAAGTTTCAGGCTAAGTGCAAGTCATGTATGTCTAAATTTTAATTTTAAAGTTCATTAGATACAATCTGCCAAACCTCATGGAACACACGTTAATGTTTATTTCCACGATTAATATTGTCATATATATTGATTGGAATTAGTTTCTAAGATTCTCAAAGTATATCAATCCATAATAACAGAACTTGCATTCTAATTTGATATTTTATTCATACATTCACGGTCTATTTCATAACACTAATAGTTTTTAATATAGAGGATCAAATCCTGAGCTATAGCCCATATACTTGTTATTTATTGCAATACTTGCAAAGCAAAGGAACTAATTATAATGCCCATGACATTTACACATAGATGTTGTAGATATGGCATTAAGATTGTTGTATATCATATGGGGTGTGCTGCAATAATAATAAGTGAACATTTCATCACATGAACCAAAAATGGTTGATGTGGCTGAAAGATCAACTAATACTTATACTAGGCAACTGATGATGGCTTTGTTTTAGTGATACAGCTTTGGCTCATGTATGACCTATTATTATAGACTAATTTTGTCATTGCATTTTTAAATCTAATCATAAAACCTTTACTTGAAGTTATAACATGCTTAATATAGGGCTATCTCTATATAAAAACATAAATATGAAACCAATTTACATCAAATCCACCATGGAACCCAAAAATTACAGCACAGTTAGAAGCATTCTAAAGAAAGTACAAGGTGCTCCTTATGAGTTACTGTGGTCTCTGGATATGGCATAGCCAATTTGGCTGCTACTTTGGGAGTGCATTACCTGGATAAATTGGAAAAGGTGGTCAACTATAATGCAACATGTCATGTCTTGGAGTATATTTGGATTGCTACAGGAATTGCAATAATGAAATACTTATCACAAAAAAATAAGCATATGAATGAATTGAACATTGAACCTGAAAAGAACCCTATTACTACAGTTGAAGCTGTTTATAGTGAATCTGGTTAAATGGAACTCTGGCTGTAGTGAACCAAACTGCCAAGACCTGAATTTTTATTAAATAATAAATCTGCTTATAGTGAATTTTATTAATAAATCTGTTTATACACCCACTTACCAAAAGTATTGGTGATTTTCGTCGATCAATTAGTAAAACATATGAAAATTTCTTTTTTTCGGACATCTCTATTGTCTGTAAGTCGCAACAATTTTTATACCGTTTTGAAGTGAATTGACTGTACT